AAGTTCTTGTTTTTTACCTATTTCTTTGGGTAAGACTTTATATGGTGTGGCAATTATATCTTATAACGATTGTGGTGGTTCTCCTTTACTTGATGGGGTTACTCTTTTGAGTATTATACTCTTTTCCGGAGGATGTGTACTAGCAGTAGTAGTACCGTCCGTACTGATATATGTTTTTTCTTCTAGAGTTTGAAGATTATCAAATGAATGAATATTTATTTTATATTGGAGACATATTTCTTTTAACCATATAAAAAATCCTTTTGTTTCCCTTTCTTTCTTGAGAAATTTGTTGTATTTTTTATGGAATAATTCTATTAATCTAGGTTGAAAGGCTTGAAGATACCATTTCCTAATATTTTGGTTTTCTAAAGAAAGATAATCTTTTTTAAGATAATCAATATTAATTTTCTTCTTTTTTCGTTCTAATTTAGCAGCTAAATATGTTGCTATATATTCATCATCATATGTGTTATTAGTATATATCTCTTCTGTATCATCTTCTATTGTAATGTAAGTATTTGAAATTCCTCTATATTAGGTTCAGGAATATATGTAGGAAGAACTACATGATCAGCCGTTCTTCTTACGCCTTGTAATTGAAAATCAGAAGATGGTGAAGGTTGTGAAGAAGAAGGGAGTATGATGACATCAGGAGTAGTATGACACGATTTTCTAGGAGGTATTAATGGTTTTTTATTTCTTTTCCTATTAATATCTATGTCATCCTTGACTCTAGATTGTTGGAATTTTATTTCAATATTTCCATCTGGATGTTCGATTATTTGGTTTGGAATATTATTTCTAGGTGCTTCTTGGGGTTGGTTTGCATGTTGTAATGCCCAAGACTGAGGTAGAATAATATCGGACCAAGTAATTGTTTTGGGTACTATTGTATGTGATTTTTCTATATTTGTTTGAAATAATATAGTTTGATCTTTTTTATCAACCTGCATAATATTAGGACAAAGGGTATTCATTACTTTATAATAAATTCTATATACTATTGCTAAATTTTGAGAACCATGCATCATATTAAATCCATGAGTTTTTAAGTTTATAGATAATATATCTAATATGTTTGGATCTGTTAAAGAAACGGAAAAATTTGGAAAGCAATTAAAGTATATCGGTCCACTACATAGGCTGGATTCTACCATGCCTAGGAGTGAATCTGCGAAGTTATTGTGTCTTGTATCTCTTAGCCATACAAGCACAGAAGTGTTTAACCCTAGTCGGGTTAAAGGTTTAATGGCTATTTGGATTAACCCAATATGTAAATATTTATAATTATTCTCTTTATGTTTTTCAATAATTTTTCTTGATAGTAGTTGAAAGTCTTCTTGATTTTGAGTTACGGATAGGCTTTCTTCTACTGTTTTTATAGCATAACCTAATTTGAATTTAAATGATCTTTTTTTATAAATATCTTTTATTGGTACCTTAGGAATGTTCCAATTTTGGATATGATCTTCAATATCATTAATAATAATCTGTTCCTTATTTTTAACCCTTAATGTTTGAGGTTGAGTTGCAATATTACCTTTAATATTCCTAATTAAATTTGCCATATGTAGGTTGCAGATAATGACAATCTGGACGATCAAGGGTCCAGCGTGTTCCCCTAAGCGGCTCTTCTTGGCCTTGGCGTGTACTTTGCATAGACTTGTCCTTTCGTCTCTTGCCTTAACTCTCGGACCAACTTTCTTAGATGTAAATTTAAGTAGGCTTCTACAGTATTACTGTAACTTTTACTCTTAAACAATAACTATTGGCTATATATATATATTTTCAGAGAACAATCCCAAAACGAAAAGGCTTTGGCACCAAACCTGTGCACGCACACCAAATCAATGTACGTATAAAAGAAGAGTTTTGATATGGTCCCTATGGATCACCAGATGAAAAGCAGGGATTTATTTGAAAACACAGAGACTCTCTTTCTCTCTCTCTCCAGATTTTATCCTCTCTTCGTTGCTTCTGCAAGAGCTATTTCTCTCTGAGAAAGAGAAGAATTGAGCAGTATTACTTTTCTCGAGCTCTCAAGACCAATCAAATCTCAAAGGACTTTTTTTTTTTGGTTCCTTCTATTGATTCCATTGTCTCTCTACCAATGGATGATTTACCTATACACTCCGACCTTGGTTTTCCCTCTGGTACACGGATTGAACCTAGGGTTTTTGCGGCCTAATCGAGACTTGAATCGAATTGGACTCTCGATGTGGCAAAATAGCTTGAAGAATATTTGCTCGAGGTCTGTTCGGCCCCCAATGGCCATGTTCCTATAAACTTTGCAGAAGTTGCTCTATTGCTTCAATGATCTATACAGATTTACAGTAGAAAGGTTGAATACCTATATTCTCTGGTCTTACATGCCTTAGAGTTCATCTCCCAGAAGAGGCAGGATCAACAGGAAAAGTCATCGATCCATCCTGATGGAAGTGATGCTGATGCAATTGTCGATGATGGCGTTGCATAAAGATCTTTACCAAGTCGCAGCGGACAACACTCAGAAGGAGATCAAAAACTAGGATGGTACTTTGAAATTCTTGGGAAGAAACGAGGCCAGATGAAAGCGGTTTTCTTCATGGGTGTACTAAAGGGGCTCCGGTAGAGGTAGCGAATCAATTTTTTTTTCTAGGCTCTGATACCATGTTAGAACTTGTGGGACCATAGAATAGAGATACTATGTTAGAATTCGTTAGAGCATAGAACGAAGAATGAAGAGAGGACACAACATTTACGTGGTAAGGCACATAAAATGGAGAATGAAAAGAGAAGAAGAGAGAACACAACATTTACATGGTAAGGCTTCATTCAGCCGAAGCCTTACGGATCCAAAGCCCAACTGGTTACATCTTTACTATTTTGGATGAATCTTTACATCAAGAAATATCTATATATATAAAGGACAATCTAATGAATCTTTAAATCAAGAAGTACCTCTATATATAGAGGACAATCACACAATTGAAGTACCTCTATATATAGAGGACAATCACATAATTGAAATACTTCTATATATAGAGGACAATCACACAATTAGAAGAGATAATTATGGTATGATAACCTGATGACCAAGTAACTTGGTCTCTATCTTTTAGATATCTGACGTTATCAAGAGATATATATATGTACATCGTATATCACTATGAATCCGATATATCCATACCTTAATAGGTCTAACCATGTCCTTCATTGTTTTACAAGAATAAGAGAATAAAGAACATTAAAAAATAAAAGAAAAAAGAGAATAACAAGATATCATTGATTCACAAGAATAAGAGAATAAAGAACATTAAAAAATAAAAGAAAAAAAGAAAACAAGTGAAGAGTGCATTTTTTTTGTTTTTGGGTAAGTCAAAGGGGAAAAGATCCGTACTTGATTTTCACTAATAACAAGAAAAAAGTACAACTCATTGTTTTATAACTTTAAAATAAAGAAGTTGTGTCAAATCATAAAATACCTGACAACAGAAAAAAAAAAAAGAAAAAAAAGTGCACTTTCAATAAAACTAAAGGCTTATCTTTTGAGAAGAGGCTATAATCATCTGCACTATTTAATTGGTCAAACTATTCTCTTTCCTTGAGAGTGAAGAGAACAAGTCGGAGAGCTTTAGCGGTGATCTCAGGATTAATGGCTTAAAGAGAAGAGGTCGGTCATGGAGAGCTTTAGAGGTGATCTTAGGACCAATGGCGGCAGTTTTGATGAGAGAGACTGTTGTTTGTAGGGCAAGAGATGTAAAGAATGACGTCTTGTTTGTAGAAATTGAGGGTGTTCTAAAAAGAAAAATTTGGAATAAGGCATTCTAGAAAGAAAAAAGTTGATATAATGTTGCAACATAAAAAATTTAGAGCTAGTGATGCAACTCAAAAATCCATAAGAAAATGTTGTTTTAATGTTGAAAAACCCTTTACTTGATCATCTTGACATCGAGATATGTGGATATGAAAATAAAAAAAAATCCCAAAAATAGTGCATCTTGCAATACATTATCTAGACCGTTCATTTTCAAGATTTTCATGTTTTTATAGGTCTACTTAAATTTAACCATTTTTGAAATTCAAAATTTTATATTTGAATATGAAAACAGATTTTCAAATAATCCCAAGGATTTTTTACACCAAAACTACGTGTTACAATGAAATTTGGAGGTGCACCTTAATTGGATCGTTCAAGGTTGCAACATTATAGATTAATATCCTAAAAGAAATGGGGAAATAGAAGAAAAAGGTCTATAGCTCGAAGTCTGTTGCGACTTAAAAATTTAAATCTTAGTCATCCATTTTGAATGAAGGCGGATCTAAGGGGTTAAGAGCTTCTTAAGGGTGGAAATAAACTCTTACTTCTGAGGTTATGATTGTGTGGGTGGGGTTGGGAATGGGCTGGGCCAACCCTTGCCCAAGATCGGGTTTGGTCCCAATAGGCCGGACCGGGCCAAAGAAGCATGAGCTTAGGCCCTGCCCTTGTCCTATCTAGGTTGGACAAGGCTAGATAGAATTTAAAAAAAAAAACAAAATAAAGAAAAAGAGGGCAGGGCTAGACCTTTCACGGCCCAAACAAGTCTTGGATTGGCCCTCAACCTATCGTGGTGAGGGCCTAGCCCAGGCCCTAGTTTTCTAGGGCTGAGCCGACCTGGCGGGACCAAGCATATAGCCCACTGCCACCCATATGCGAGGGGTTTGAAACTTTTTTGGGTTCGTTGCCCCACCTCAAAAGTGAATTCACTTTTGAGGTGGAGGAACATTGTATTCTATGCCCCAGGAACGAACTCAAGGGTGGCAATGAACCAGACCCGACGAATGGATCCGACCCGGATAGTGTCAATATTTAAATAATATTCAATATATAATATTTTATAATATTTAAATAAATGTAATTATATAATTTAATTATAATATTTAAATAATACATGTATATATTTAATATAAGTTAAAATATTTTTAAATATATGTGTTTCTATTTTTGGGGAGGGTCCAATAGGGTCTGGGTCTGGGTCCCCGCCCGTTGCCACCCCTGAACGCACTACATATTCAGGAGCACAAAATGATGGTGGGCCCCATGCTCTCCAAAATGTAATTTTTTTTTGGAATTTTGTTTCTATTGAATGACACTCTTACAACTACTCATTTTGAAATTTAAGGAACGAAAATAATTATGACCTCCATGTACAAAAGATAAATCCCATAGTTATATCATTGATTAAAATTTAACCAATTTGTCTTCGTCTTTATTTGGGATGGGTAACCAATGTTTAGAAACTCAGATCGGTGAATCGAATCGGTTGGTAAAGTCGGCTCTGCTCCCTTGGCTAAAGTAAACAAAGAAAAGAAAAGAAAAGAAAAAAAAAAAATTAAAGACTTTACCGTATCCAAGCAACTTTTGAGAACTTGAAGTGTTTCTAAGAACATTAGTTTTAAATTAACGACGGGGTTCTATGAGTCGGCCGCCTCATATGTACATATACGCCTCACTAAAATTTATTTAGATGATTTTTTTTCTTTTTTGTAGATTGATGATCATAAATATCAAAAGAAAAATAAACTTTTAAAATATAATTTTTTAATAATTTTTATGCACAGTCTATATGTTATTTGTTGACAATGCAATTTAGATAACATCCATCGATGGACATTTGTAAGACAGCAGACTCTTACACCCACTGACTCATGAAACAATTTTCCTTAGATTAATAAAACTGATTTTAATGGTAGGAAATCTTCATGATAGCTCTAAAATCAATTTCTAACACCTACTATGAAATTTAAAACTAAAAAAAGTGGTATAGACCTTGTGGATCTATTAATACTTATTTTTAGGGCAAAATGGATGGTTTAAATAAAGTGTTATAATACACACCATTTTTACAGTTTGAAATCTGAATTTTTCACAACCATAATAGTCAAGACCGAGATGATTCATTTGAAGCTTTTTCAATTCCGAAACTGCAATGTCTAGTGAGTTTTAAGGTGAGGCTTTACTTATTTTAATAAAAGTAGAGCCCTAATAAAAAAATTTCCAGAAAGGAAAAAGTTTTGTTTTATTGTATAAACTCTGAACAAAGGGAGCCAAAAAGAACTTATACATGGTTGATAGAGAGTAACATCTTCCAAAACTTTTCAAGCAATTAGGCTCTATCTCATGGTCATTGCCAAATATTCATAATTTTTTTTTATTAGGAATGTATACTGTGATGCTCTATCTCATGGTCATTGCCAAATCTTTATAAATTTTTTTATAAGGAATGTATACTATGAGACTATTTACTTTTAGTATAAAGAGGTCATAATTATTTTTAATCAATGGATGTGAAATCTAATAGATTGAAGTGTCCCACAATATTCGATAAATTTTATTTTGGACTTTATACCCATTCAATGATTTATCTTCAACAACCTGGTTTTACATCCAATGATCAATTATGGTTGTGACCTCTATCTTTTTATATGCATTTGTTTATATATATTTAACCTTGAAAGGCTAACTGTTGAGTTTTTTAAAAATCTAAATTTTGAGAAATAAATAAAAGCGAGTTTGACGTCGTGTGTGGTTACTTTTGGAAAAGTTGTTCGTGATCACTGACTCACCAATGTCCATATTTAAGATGGATGTTGTAAATAACTCATGGGCTTATACAATCTAAATTTTTCTCAAAAAATTCACATTTTAGATATTGAAAATTTTATTTATTTATTTATACTTATCATCATCTTAACCTAGATCTTGAATCCTCAAAATTTTGGATAATAAGAGGGGCCCTGCATATGTACAGTATGAGTCGGCTGAGTTATAGAAACCCCGTCCTTCCTTTTTTTTTTTTCCAAATCATGTAAAATCCCACACCACGACATCAAATAATTGGCCCACCATATCTCATTTGTATTGGTTGGGATTGTCGTTTTTGATACATAATAATAAATATATATATATATCACCATCATCACATGGTAGGCAAAGCTACTGCATCTGATGAATTATTGAACAAGGGTTCCTGTTAATGTGAGGCCCAGACTTTACAATGAAGGGTGAAACCCCATCCCAAAAAGCTGCTGGAAAAATCACATCCGGCACTAAAAACCCTTGTGCTAGCTTGGAAATTTAGTTTTGCTCCTTATTATAAAATTTGAAGCTCTAAAATAGATTTGGCAGTGAACACTTGAAAATATAGAGTTCGAATAATATATTACAAGATATATTATTTTTAGAGTTTGAAATCAAAGTTATTTTTCAATCCATGATAGTCGAGATCAAGATGATCGATCTTGATACTTTTCAGGCGTTGGAACAACAAATTCCAGTAAGATTTGAGCTACTGTTTTTAAGAAGCACACCAATCTTCTCCTTGAACAAAACCCTTGGTACATGCATCAATGAGACCCAACATAAGCCATGACACTAGAGGCAAAATCCTGCATGATGTCTCGTTTATTCATTTACAGTAGCAGTTCTTTGTTTGTGAGGAAAGGATAGTAGAAAATGGATGAGGGTTTGCAAGAAGATATTGTCATTGTTGGCGCCGGGATTGCAGGCCTTGCCACTGCTCTAGGACTTCACAGGTATATTCATGGGCTTTGATTTTCTACTATTTGTAAGGAAGTGTATTCAATACGCACACAAAAATTTGCTACAGTGCTTTAACATCAGTCCAGCCATCCAATATCAATGGCAGACGGCAGCGGGGTGTTGCTCCCCCCACTCAATGTCCATAGAAAGTAGGGGACAGGTGCTCAAAATCATTGAATGGAGAAACAACTTCTCATGGTCGTCTGGGCGATGTTTAAGCACTTTAGAAATCTATGTACACATTGTATATCATGTAATTGTTTAAATGAGTCGGATTGTGCCCTTCCAGTCCTGCTCATAAAATTTCCAAGTCGGATCGGGCTATATTTTACAAAGAAACTAAAAAAGAGTTAAAAACCATGGAATCGGGACTATTCTTGGGTTCCTGTTACCAGAATCGCCCACTGCCAATCCTGACAGATCGACCATTTTCAAAGCCTGGTTTTTCTTGTTGGTGGTGATAATTTTTTCGGTTGCTGATGGTGGTGATGATGATACCATTACTATTGACACAATAAGCTATCCTCATTGCTGTTTAGATGATCTACACTCATATGAACCAACATCTCCAGCAAGCGAGCACGATCTACGCTACAAGACATGTCTCTATTTAAATAACATCACCCTATAGTATTGAATACACAGATCATTTTTCTGAACAGTCATATCTAAGCGATTGAGAAATCAGAATCGTATCCTTCTAAATAATTTATCCCCTGATTCGATGATAACTCCCATAATCTAAATCAAACATAATCCTTTGAAGTTTGAGCATTTTGGAGGATGGAGCAAGAATAAAAGTTGCTCCTCGGGTGCATGGTCATCCTTCCCTTAATTTGAAGGTTCTGCATTAGGAGATTGAGAAGTCTAGTGCCCCTCATATGCTACACTTTCATGTGATCATACTTGAGGGAAGTTTACTATCATTTCTAGTTTGTAGTAACTGGTACATCTTTGGAACATCCACCGTTCATTCCTAATCAAACCAGTTGGTATCGACCATACTAGGGTGGATGTGAGGATGTATATCACTGGGAGTTATCGTCAATATCTACAATCATAATGATGGATATCCTAGGGTGTACTACATATCATAAACCGTTGTGTCAGGAATCTGAATTGAGCTTCGCCTTGCCAAGGATTGGACTCTAGTTCAGCCAGTCCGGTTCAGGTGACTCTTCAATGTGCTCGGGCTTTATTCAACAACAAAAAAGGATAGAAAAAAGCATGAGAGAACTAGGCATTTCCAAGGAAAATTGGAATTGTCTAGCTGCCGATCTTGTATTATTTCAAGCAATTCTAAATCGGCTTGGCAATTTTTAAATCATTACTAGATGATAAATATAATTACTTTTCCTGTATTTCCAAGTTGCAATTTGGTAAAAAAAATTGTTTTCTTCTTCTTTCTATTTCCTAGTAAGCTTGACTCAAAACCCAACTCTGTTTGAAACCTTAATGTGTCACTAATTTTGAGCCAAAAAGGGGAACTTACAGTCCAACTTTGATCAAATCATTGATTTTGACTGACTGGTTTGTGCAATTTGTGGCATTTGAACATGCAAATTAGTTTTCCCTTACCTCAGGCAAAATTAAATCCTACTTATTATCATTGAAAGTCAACTTATTATTATTATTATTATTATTATTATTATTATTATTATTATTATAATATGTAAAGAATAAGATGTATTATTAAAAATTGTTTTTATAGGATGGGGTTAAAATGCTTTATATTGGAATCTCATGATGCCTTGAGGACCACTGGCTTTGGACTGACCACATGGACCAATGCATGGAAAGCTCTTGAAGCTCTTGGTGTTGCTGACTCCCTACGCCATCAACATGTCCAACTTCAAAGGTGATGTCTGTTATTTCCTCCCCTTTAATATTTATTAAATTTGATCCCCATTTTTAGCTTTAATCCCAAAATTTCCTAATAAAATAGCTACTGCAAATCTCATTATGATCCACAAATCCTCTTTTTGAACCTTGCTTCTTGTGTCATAACGGTTTATATGGCAATTATTCTTCCAAATATACATACATGCAGGGTAAGTGTCACTACCTTAGCAACTGGGGCTACTACCCATACACCACTCACAGGTCAGGGGAAATGGTAAGTATAATAGAGAAGTACTTTTATCCTAAATGAGGACTTCTGCCTGATTTTTTTTCCCATTGAAAGGAGTACATGTTGGCCTAATTTCAAGGAGAATATATTTAAAATGGTCCAAACTACCTCAAAATATCAATGAGTTGGTTAAATCGACAATTTTACTAATATAGTAGACATTAAAAAAAAAAAAATGCCTTCATTTTGGTACCATAAGTTGCTGTCATTCTGGATTTGTAATTGTAAAGGAGTGATCGCATTTTGGTAAATTGATTCGCTTAAGTCACTTGAGCAAAATGAACTAAAGTTCTACTTATTTGGCGTTTCAAATCTGGAATATGTTTTCTATGCTGGAAACTTTTGTTTGGGATTTGGAAAAAGAATGGATATTTATGACTTTTGGCTCATGTGACTTAAATCTAGCCAAGTTAGTAAAGTGCATCTTGCTTGTTTTAGGTTCCAACCGATACTTTGTTAATGAAAATATATTTTGAGTTTGAAGCCCGAACAAGCAAGGTTTTCAGGTTATTTGGTTCAAGTGACTTAAGTGGGGCAATCTACCTAAATTCACTTAATTGTTCAAGGTTATAGACAGAAAACTACACACTTTTGACTATATTTTTAACAAAATTCTTGAAGTACCATTTTTTTTTTTTGAAGTAACTGCTTTATTGCTAAATCGTTTATTTAAACACCTCATTTCATTGATTTTTTAGGTGCTTTGATAATTTTAATGACATTTTTCTTATTTAATAAAACCACTTATTGAAAAAATAAAATTCCGTTGAACTTTATCCTATGAAATAGGTCATAGTTACCGAGATCTCGTACTTTGGTAGGCGATCCCTTCTAAGATCTCGATTCTGTCACTCCTAGAATAGATCTCTCAAGGATCCCAATTTTTAAATTTTGGGATCTCAAACTTCACTCATAGAGATCCCGATTCATGTTATTAGGGATTTGGATCCCAATCTTAAAGACCAAAAAATCAACCAAACTGATGATTTTTTTATTATAGCCAACTAACAACACAACTATTGCTTGGATGCTATCAATAATGAGACCCCTGCATTAAATGGTATACATAATCCTAGATTATGCTATACTTTAAAGTTGGTAACAAGATCCACAAAAACTTGGGATCAAGATCCCCAAAAGTTTTGAATCTCGATCCCTAACATTTGGGAATCTCGATCCTCCGATCCCATTACTGTTCCTGCTCCCGATCTCAACAACTATGAAATAGATCAAAATGTGAAACATAAAATTACTTGCGCAATTATAGGTGATCTAATGATTTTGCTCACTTAATATTGATGGGTACTGGGATTTGATTTACCCCAACAACTATGAAATAGATCAAAATGTGAAACATAAAATTACTTGCAAAATTATAAGTGATCTAATGATTTTGCTCACTTAATATTGATGGGTACTGAGATTTGATTTTTTTTGAAGTGGTTATCCTATTAAATAGATCAAAATATGAAACATAAAATTCATCATCATCATTCGAACCCGGCTAAAAGAAATGAAACATAAAATTATAACTGATGTTGTAATTGTACTTTTGTTGACTTGATAATCTTGGGGAATTGGGATTTGATCTCAAGCGGGCAATTTGAAACGCGTTGTTTGAGGAGAGATTTGTTGGTGGAAGCTCTTGCACGAGAACTTCCAAAAGGGTGCATCAAGTTTGGGGCTAAAGTGGCGAATATGGAAGTGAAGGACTACAAATCCCCACCTTATCTTCTCCATTTGGCCGATGGGACTATTATCAAAGCCAAGGTAAAACCTCAAGTCTTATTTGTCCAATTCTCTACTTGGTAAACAACCCTAAACATAACAGCAAGTGTAAGGTAATCCTGTAGGAATACACTGTATACTTGATGTCAAGGGCCGAGCACCCTTTAGAAGGATCAGATTTAATCAATTTGAATTTTGAAGTACAACTAACTTATCAACTAATTAAAACCTTTTTATGGACTTTCATAGACTTTTAATGATTTCTATTGCTTATTTTACTTTTTGCTTTTTGCTGATGTTTAATTATTTCTGACATATTTTTTTTCTACTTTTAATTTTTTTTTAACTTTGAAAGACTCAGCTGAGTCCACTTGGGCTTGGTCAAATTACTCGGTTTGACTAAGGCCCGAGGTGAGTTTAAAAACATTGTTTACAACTTCACCTATTTTTATCTATTGCAATTCATGACCTGTGATGGGATTTTTGAAATTAAACTAGAAGAATTAGGTAAAATTTTAAACAGTTCATCTCTTTGGTGAATTTTGATAAATTTCCAAAAAAATTAAGTTCCACTTTATGATCACTAGGTATTGAGAAGAGAAATTACATTTGAATTCCCTATGGTCCAAAAAATTGTCAAATGATCACTAGGTATTGAGAAGAGAAAATAGATTTGAATTCCCTATGGTCCAAAAAGTTGACAATTTGTATCGGTGTTTTAAAATATCAGCAGTAAACCAGTCCTCCAGAAATATAGTGTGGATTAACAAATCTGGCCAATTCTCCAGTGTGAGAATCAGTCCATAAAAACAAACAAAAGAGGAAAAAAGATAGAAAATATTATGTGAGTGAATTTAGCGATTTGGCCGGACTAGGTAGGTTCCTGACAAACTCGCCTGATTCACGAGTCCATGGGAACTGGACCGATTACTGGTTTCAACAACAAACCTGGTCGATCTGGACCAATTCAGGACGACCAATTTTAAAACACTGTGTTACATCCTCAAGATTTGTAGCCCTAAAAATGCTCCTAAAGAGAATTTTACCAGATGGATTGAATACAGGACAGGAGCATATGCTTTTTGGCCAACTTAAGGAGTGTATCCATCTTTCTAATTGTTGCAGGTAGTGATTGGGTGTGACGGGGTGAACTCTGTGGTGTCAACGTGGTTGGGTTTGCAAAAACCAGCCTATGTGGGACGCTCAGAGATCAGAGGATTCGCAAATTTCCAAGATGGCCATGGTTTTGAGCCAGATTTCTTGCAGTATATCAATGATGATTTTCAAGTGGGCCTAATACCTTGCAATAACCAAACCATCTATTGGTTCTTCACTTGGAGCCCTACCCATCAAGGTGTGCGTGTGCATGTGTAGGCTGCTAACCGCTGGTCCAGACTTCGGTCCCGGTTCGGGCAGACGAGCTGGTGCATGGCCCGGCCCAACAAAGAGAGTCATGCATGAACACTTTTCTGGCCGGGCTTGGGCTAGCCCTAGCACTGTCCAAAGTTTAATATGATAAAATTTAGGGAAAATTTTAAAAATACCCATGAGAGATACGCCATTTAACATTTTACACTTTTCGTACTGTTCCAACTCATCATCAAATGTTTTTTCTATGGGTATTTAGAAATTAAATTAAACAGTATTGGTACAATCTTAAATAGTTCATCTAACATGTGTGTTTTGATAATTTCCCTTTTTTTTATAATTTGGGAAGTTTACATAAATGTCTCCTCTATTTTTTTTGTTGAGTTGAAAAATATCCTCAATATTTTATTTTTAATGTTAATGTCCCATTTTCTAAGGGAACATCAAATATCTCGATTTTAACTTCTTTTCTATGCATCAGGATTGGATTGAGCTCAAATTTTGTGTTAATACTTCTTACTATCATGCATATGTAAGAAAGATAAAAAATAATTAAATTAAATTAAAATTACCAAAATATACATACAAATTTTAAGGTTATTTGGTCATTTTATTTACTTTTATATTTTCTACTATATTTTCTACAAGTACATTATGAGAAGTATAGACACCCAAAACTAATACAATTATAGAAAAAATAAAATTATAAGAAAATGCTTATATGATGTGTCAACATTATACTATTGAAGTACGGTGCACCTAAAAAATCCTCTAGAAAAGAGTGTTCCGACATTGAAAAACCCTCCAATTGATCATTTCGATCTCAAGAAGTATGGAAATCAAGAAAAAAGAATTTCAAGTCATAAATATAGTTTATCACGTAACAAGTTATCTCGACTGTCTATCTTCAAGATTTTCAAGTGCTTATAGATCTACTTGATCTAATACCATTTTTAAAATTTTAAATTTCATAACTAGAGATGAAAGTAGATTTTCAAGCCATCATATGGTTTATGATTCCAAAATATTTCAAGCCAAATTTAGATGTGCATCTTACCTCTAAATTTGTGTAAGGTTTGTAAAAGGATGATGCCTTATACAAACCTTAATCTAAAATAAAATACAATAAATGATCTAAAAAGTGGGATGTGAGAGTAAAATATGAAATATTGGAAACAATTTTTAAAAAGTGCAGTTTGCATACGGATGCATCCATAGGTGTAGAGGTAAGGTGCACCTTCAAATTTTATCATGGTATATAATTTTGACGTAAAATGTTCTTAGGATTATCTCAAAATCTATTTTTATATCTAATTATAAAATTTTAAAATTAAAAAATGGATAAAATCAAGTAGATCTGTAAACATATGAAAATTTTGAAAATGGATGGTGTAGATAATATGTTGTAAAATGCACTATTTCTGAAACTTAAAATCTTTTTATTTTTCATAGTCATACATCTCAATGTTGAGATGATCAAGCAAAGGGTTTTTTAACATTAAATTTCCGATGGATTTTTGAGGGGCATCTGTAGTTCTACATTATAAGATAGCATCCTTATATAAACTTTTTCCATTTTTAAATTCCACATAATATAAGGGATATATATGTAAATTTATTATACATACACTTACACTTATAATATTAAATAAAATATTTATATTTATATCACCAAACAAGAAGCCTGAGGCTAGGCCATTAGCAGGCCTATGAGAGGAGGGAGAGAGATGTTGATTGACTGACATTTTAGTTATCCTTTGTAGAAAGGGAAATTGAGGATGACCCAGACAAGATGAAACAACTGGTGTTGGAAAAGACAAGGGACATTCTGAAAAATGTGCAAGACGTGATCGAGAGGACCAGAGTCGAATGCTTGAACACATCTCGCCTACGGTGCAGATGGCCCTGGTGTCTGATACATGGAAACATATGCAAAGGGAATGTGTGTGTGGCCGGAGATGCATTCCACTGTATGACTCCTGATATTGGCCAAGGAGGCTGTTCAGCTTTGGAGGATGGTGTAGTCCTCGCCAGATGCTTAGGTGAAGCAATTTTAGATGGAGAGAAAGGAATTGAAGAGAAGAGGATCTCAATGGCCTTGGAGAAGTATGTAAAGGAAAGGAAATGGAGGGCAATAATGATAACAACTGTGGCCTACTTTTTTGGGTTCCTGCAACAAGGCCATGGGAAAGTGAAAACTTTTCTGTGGGACAAATTATTGTCCAGGATAATGCAAAGGAGGAGGATGGCAATTACTGATTTCAATTGTGGAAGTCTACAGAACCCAGCGAGCTTGCGACCTCACCCCAATTACTCAGGTTCTGCACGTCTCTGAGTCCAAAACTAAGACCAAGGGGAACGGCTGAGTCTCACCTACGCAATTTTATAGGACTCGAAGTATCTAGCGAACTCAGATGAGTGAAGGTGCCGGATTCCCTTGAAAGCCCCTCTGTTGTGGAATGAAACATTGTGTATATCAATAGTTAATTGTTCACCATCAAGCTCTTTGAATCCAATGACAAAGCAGGATTCAAGGTTTTGAAGCTCTCTCTCTCTCTCTCTCTCAATCTTGGAAGTTACTATGTCAACAAATTAAATTTGCAACATTCCACGAACTCAAAATTTAGAAACCATAGAGAACAAGTCAAGCACAGTTCAGAATTCAGACCATGCAACTATCAGATCCCAAAAGAGAATTTGACTCTGAAAGTAAAATAAAATCATATAAAAATGAAGATACTCAGATGCTTAGACACATTCCCCTCCTTTGAGTGCTCACCCATGAGACCAAAAACATTCTTGGGTAGCAAACCAGAGAAGCCTATTTGTTATCTTGGAAAAACCAATAAAATTGAGAAAATACCAATAAAAGAAAATAAATACTCAAAAAATCAAGGGATTGTGGACCCTCATCTGCTGTGCCAAACTCCTTTGCTTTATTGTTCAGTAGGAGACTACTGGGCCTTCACTTGGTTATATACACCATTTTTCTTTGTGGGATCTGGCTTTTTGGTAGAAAGAGAGAGCTTCTCAGTGAGGTGGACAATGGATTCATTCTGATTCCCCATTTCGTTCCCTCGTACGCTCCTTTTGGGTTGTGTTTCTCTCAACTGCTGCAAACAGAAAATCATGTCAACTTGATAAATAAAAACACAACTTAAGTTTGTTTTATAATATGTATATATATATATATATATATATATATATATATTACTGAAAGAACAATGGTACACTTCTTTTATCTGTATGGTACAATATGGGCATATTGAAACATTACAGCAACAATAGTAGTAGTAGCCAAAATAAGAGAAACTATATGGAATATGGCATACAGTGCTCCAAAGGGGCACGCATCATCCAATCCCAACAACAGATGGTTGAGTTAAATGTACTATTGGCAAAGTGGGCCCACTACGAGTAATCCCTGTTGTAGATCATCAAAAATGGCTGGTGGTGCGCCATTGGAGTACCACACGCCATTGGATGAAGATGATGATCATGACCATGATGACGGCCAAGATTACGATCGTGACCATAATGATGCAAATAACAACGATGATGATGATGGCGATCGTGATGATGATTGCAAAGATGACAATACATTGCCAAGGAACTTACATGAAAAGATGGGTTTGCCAGCCTACTCTTCCTTTCGTACATGGTCTTTTGGCGAGATTCATAGAACGAAAAATCATCCAATATTGATGTCACAGCACTGTAGTATTTAAAAATTTTCAGCATTTCAATACCCTGAGAAAAAGTTACCTGCAAATAAGAGATACCAGATACTGAGATACCCAACATAAAAAGTTGATGTTAAAAACCCACTATAATTCACCAGAGGATTGGTAGCGTCCACAGCATGTGGACGCTCAAAAGGTGCACAAGCACCTTTTAATGGTTTAGATTGACCTATCCTCATCCAAGGGCTAAAAATAAATTTTGTTTTCTATTTTAAATTTAAAGATGATATTGATCTGAAATTCGGGTTCTAGCCTCATTCTTATTAAGTAGAATTAAATAAAAACTATTTGCAACAAAAAATATTGATCGAAATAAATTAAGAGGTATTTTGGTCATTTCTTTGTTCAACATATTTTTTAATCATTTTATTAGTTATATTCATAAAAATAAACCTACACCCTGAAATTCAGATAGATATTTTATTTACGTAAAAAATACAAAATCAACTATTGGCCATTCGAAATGGCCTTGTGAAATCTCAACCATTGGAAGGGTACTTGTGCACCCTTCCACCCGGCCACATCATGTGGACAGGATACCTTTTCCTTCACCAATCCTTTTCATTGGAAAATGAGCATTTAATCAGTTCCTGTGAAATAAGATTCAAACATAAAAAAGAAACTCTGTACGAACAATCACAAGTTATTTCATAATAATTTACAAATAAAGCGATTGTTATAAAGAATAATTCAAAAAGAACAAATTATAGCATAAAAAGAGAATAAAGGCATGATGTAAGGAACCATTCACAACAAAAATAAGTTAGACCAGAAATAGATATAACTACTAGTTGTAGAAATAGTAACAAGTAAATAAAGGAGACAATAATTTACCTCTTGGGTATCCCTACTATACGTAACAGCCTTGTTCTCATTATCTTTCAGTATAATATGCGTTAAGAGATGGTTTGGGACATCTTTAACGATATGCCATTTCACTGGGAAAAAACCATTCCACACATCTCCTTGCCAGAAATCTAGTGTCTTCTTAAAATCCACTTTGCAGGTCATCTCTGCCAAACCAACAAACTGTCCACTGCCATTTACCTGGCAAAAATAAATTCAAATTTTCTCCTATAATTTAGAAACAAGGCGATTAATAAAGTGATATTTGCTTATTAAAGTTTTCCATGGTTCCTGCATTTAGGTGAGGGATCATTTAAGTTATGGGTGCAGTTGGCATACGGGTGCATCCATAGCTATAGAGGTAAGGTGCACGTTCAAATTTTATCATGGTATATAATTTTGATGTAAAATGTTCTTAGGATTATATCAAAATCTATTTTTATATCTAATTATAAAATTTTAAATTTAAAAAATGGTTAAAATCAAGTAGATCAATAAACATGTGATAATATGAAAATGGACAGTGTAGATAATATGTTGTAAAATGCACTATTTCTGAGACTTAAAATCTTTTTATTTTTCATGGTCATACATCTTGATGTCGAGATGATCAATCAAAGGGTTTTTCAACATTAAAACTACCTTTTACGATGGATTTTTGAGGTGCATCCGTAGTTCTACATTATAAGGTTGCATCCTTATATAAACTTTTTCCTTAAGTTATTACTGTGTCTTCTTCATAGTATCAGGCAATGTTCTACAACTCGACTGAGTCAACTCGAGAGTTGCCTGAGTAATTCAGGCTTAACAAGTTGCCTTGCCCGAGTCCCCCTAGACTCAGGGGACATAATTAATATATGTTTTATACTAATATAATTAGAGTCACTTTATAATTAATTCAAACTATGATTAAATCAAATTATAAATGACTTGTCTTTCTATTTTTTTTCTATATTTTTCAATTTTCTATAGAAATGATCTTTAAACAGTTTTCTTTTTCTTTTTTAACTTTTTGAAGACTCTCTCTCATCTGTTATATACATTTTCTATTGTTTATCATTTTCTTTTCTTTTTTCCCCTGATTTTTAACATATTTTTATAGGATTTTTCCTTTCCTGTTAACTTTTTTTTTGTGCCATTTTCAAGCTCAGTGCTAACTCAGGCGAGTTGACTTGAACTAACCAGAGTAACTCAGCCAGGTCAGTGGCAGAGTTATGCAGCCGAGCGAAGTTCTAAAACATTGGTCTCATGTTAGACTAAAGTAAACTTTCTCCAATACATATAAAAGGAATAAAGAGAAGAAGCATTTCACATCAGAATGAAGCTTACCGAGAAGAAGAGGAAGACAGGGCACCTGCTGCCATTGTCATTCAATTTTGCCTGTGCACCATGGAATGCCTCATCAAGCTTCTTATTCCCAAAGTCAGTGCTTGCCCAGACGTTATACTTCAAGCTCTTATGAACGTCATCCTCACTGAAGGATTTTATAACATAGAAAAGAGCAGCTTCATAATTAGTAGGAAAATCCAATAAATTGTATAGATCTCGTTTAATTAATGGGTTCTCAAGGACTGGAGACTCCTTTGGTCGATTGGAACGAAGGCCCCGTTTTAGTTCATCCAAAGCTCCAATTCGATTGAACCTCTCATTTCTTGTCCAACCCCCCTGATTAGGCCTAAAATATATGGGGCCCTCTTGAGGGATAAAGTTTCCTTTCCCCTGTGGCAAGTGTGAAGAGAAATTTCCAGCAGCTCGTATGAATTTCTTCTTAAAACTTGAGGAATTAAAATCATTTCCACAAGATGGCACCTGGAGACCAAGTAAAGAATTCAATGTGAATAGTCTTCTATTCTCAATAAACAATGTTGCATTAGAATTCAGAGGATCTGGCTATGAAAATAATTGCAGACTAGAATAACTGCCAACGATTTTAGATTGAATCATGACAAACGATTTTGCAAGTGACAGATTGGTTGCTGTTCTCCGTCTTTGGAAACTTTGGTTGGATAATGTCAACGGTCAATTAAGAGCAATGGGAATGAGAATCCCTATGTAAGATGTTTAATTATCTCTTTATTAACAATAATTAGTCTTTATCTCTAGTTAATCTCAGATGTCTAAGGATGAACCACCAGATTTTGGCTCAAGGAAAAATGGTCAAAACCATAGTAAATCCCCATAGAATGGAAAATGAAAAGGCTGGACTCATTTGCGAGTTTCTTATCCAATTTCCAAAATCTATAGGGAAAATATACAGCATTATATAGTCAATATAGAAACCATGGGACCCAGGCACCTGGCTTACTGTGTTGACAACTGCATCCCAGGTCCAAAATTCATTGTTGACATATCCAAAAGGAATGAAAAGCAAAAGCAGAAGTCCATTGGGTTTCTACAGTGATGGAGAAAGTAGGAATCTTCAATGATGTCATGCCATGGAGTGTCGGGCCTTACTCTCTCTCCATCACCATCCACCATTTCAATGGATGATGATTCCATAGTTTATTGGATTACACAATGTTCCACAAATTACAGATACATTTGACTCGCATCCAATAGAACAAATACATATAACAATAAGTGAACCACAGGAATAAGTTAATTCCTTTTATTCTCAGAAAAATGACATACTTTCTTTTACAAAAGAAAGTGTTCCTTTCAGTATTGAATAATGGAAAATGTTCCTTTTAGAATGACTAGGTACGATAATGTTCACGATAAAAACCACCATATCAGAAAATCAACAACAGATATACACTGCTTTCACCAAAAACTATAAGGTACAAAAAGGGGGGCAATAACTGGTAGTACTAAACTAGCATCCAAGCTTATAACAGACCATGCAAGAAGCAAATTGGTCGCATATAAATACCACTAAATCACCAATACTTCACTGCCTCCATGACAATCAAGGGTGTTTCTAGTGATTATCCCTTGATAAAGCTATAATATTAAATGGACAAATAATTCCCCTAAACAAATTCAAGAGATTCAAAACACACGATGTGGAAACAGGACCAGCCATGGCATTAGGTTTATTAGAGATCATAGAATGTGCAGGAGAAATAGAATTAGTAATAGGAGTATTTTGTCTTGGACCAGGTACTCCTTTCCGACCATCTTTCACAAAAGGTGTTGAATCCCAAGAGCAAGGTTGCTCTGCTCCATAAAGGTCTGGTTTATGAATATAACCAGGTGATGCAAAGGGCTGTGTGTCTAATTGATTTGCAGGTTGTGAATACATGTGATTTGAGTAGAATGGTTGATGATCAACATACTGTCCATCCATGTAAGCATCATCGCTGGCCACATAGTAGCCAGACCCATCATCAACATGAAAACCCTAAATGAAACCACCATAAGTAAAACACATAATGTAGAGAAAAAGCATCTAAAAGAAAAACCAATTTACTATAGAGTGAGAGAGATCATAGGCCATGATGGTAGAGCATGACATATGACATTATACGAAGAAAACTGAAGAAGAATTATAACATCAAACGTTTAGGTAAAGGGAAACATCGAGCACTTGAACCTAATCTCCAATGAGAATCGTCCGGAGAACCTTAAATAATAGTATTAAAGAACAAAACAGAGAGACCCAGGGTTTTTTGCACCTTCTTTAAGAGAAAACAACTAAACATCATCATCATAACAAATGTATGAAACCAAGTAAACCATGCCAGTCAGATAAAATCACAATCTATTAAATCAAACTAAGAAGATGACAGTCAATAACTTACAGAATAAGGAGACTCTTGTCCATCTAAATAGTATCCTGCCAGGCTGCAATACCCATTAGGTCCATCATAACCTGTGAATGCAACCTGATCAAAACTTGAAATTCCAATGTCATTGAAAGGGGGGGGGGGGAGGAATACAACAGATTAAACCTTGTTCAAGAGGCAAATAATCACGTGAAAGGATCATATTACACACATCCATAAACATCCATAAATCCAATCCAGCTATAAAACCAGTTGTATCTTAGTACTCAATTATGCAATTGGTGCTTATTTCTGAGAACTCCCATGCTGTATGGCATTGCAGAACTTGGAAAACATAGAAACATCCCCATAAACACCTACAGCGAGAGAGAGAGAGAGAGAGAGAGAGAGAGAGAGATTGCAATGCCAATATATTCATAAATTTAGAGATGAACCTCGATAATCATATCCATAGCCATTGGTAGCAGGGTAATGCATGCCATTCTCTGCAAAACATTTGTCATCCACACCATTTTCCTTGATGCTACTTGTAGCGTCTCTTGCAGGATATGCATCAGAGGATCTACCATCCTTGAGAGAAGGGGGGGGAGAGACTAGGTCAGAAAGTCAGAAAGCCCACACTATGACAAGTAAACAAATAAATCCAACAAGGCAACAACAAATACTATTAAAACATAGAGTATACCACATTCTGTTCTGGTGATTTAACACAAGAAATCCCACTTGAGTCACGGTTCTTGATCTCTATATCTGAGAAAATGTCTATAAAGGAGAACATGCATACAACTTTTGACAATCAAATTTGAAGTGAATATAAATTTTTATACAATCAACTAGCACAACTTCACAAAATGAAATGACTAAGAGTTCAAATAATCAAATAACTAAATAGAGAATCAGCTACATCGACTTCAATTTGTATCTTGCAAAGATGATAGTTTCTTCTTCTATAAAAACTTTATATCATAGATCAACTCCATCTTTCCATCTTAAAGATGGAATTTTCAAGTATATTACATTTCTCATCCAAGGTTAAACATTTTACTTATGGGCAAGTTAATTAGGCATCTACAAGATGAGGTATCGTGGTGTATGTTTTTCGCTATTGACAGTTTTGATTGATGAGACTGGAAGTGAAGTCTGCAAAGTTAGAACTCTAGAGGGAAGCACTACAATCTAAAGATTTTAAAATATCGCACTACGACAAAATATATGGAATGCAAATTTAATAATATAGGAGTAGAAACAAGGAAGAATGATGGCCAAGAAATACCTAAGAAAGAGTATTTTTGATATCTTGGGTCAATAATCCAGAAAAATGGAAAAATTGAGAAAGATGCGGCACATAGAATTAGAGCTGGGTGGGCGAAATGGAGATGTGCAACTGGAATTTTATGTGAACGTCGTAATACTAATGAAGTTGAAGGGGAAGTTCTATAGGACAGCTGTAAGGCCACGTTTGCTTTATGGGAAAGAATGTCAGGCGGTCAAGAAACAACATACCCACAAGTTGAGTGTAGCAGAAATGAGAATGTTGAGATGCATGGCAAGACAAGATAGGATATAATGTAGAATGAATATATTCGAGGGAACTAGTGGCTCCAATAGGCAAAAAGACAAGGGAAAGTAGACATAGGCGGGCTGGCCATATGCAGCGCAAACCCAATACAACCCTAGTTAGGAAGTACGATTTGATTCAAGTCGAAGGTTCTAAAAGGGCATGGGAAACGCCCAAAAGGGCATGGATGGAAGTAGTAAGAAAACATATGGGGACTTATAGTCTTACTGAGGGTATGTCCCTTTATAGAGCAGAATGGCAAAACAAGGTTCAAGTAGCCGAACCCAAATAGGTGGGATAAGGCTCTAATGATGCTCATCATCACTTTCAATCACCATGCCAAGAAATATAGATGAGAATACATTCATTTATCAAAATACATTTACACATGCATGCATGCACACACACACACACTTGTTATTGTAGTTGCAATACGTTGAGCACTTGCCCATGTAATGACGTCTTGAGTATAGATATGCAAAGGCAATACACATGGTGAGAATTTTAACGAGGTCCACGAGAGCAACTGAAGGAAAGAGAACCATAGTTATGGTTCTCCTTCTACTTCTAGGGGTTGCACAAGCTCTCTTCTTGGCAAGAGAAAATATACTTTGCCCCTTTTTGTTTCAAGGAAGCCATCTTGTACACCTCACCAATTTCCTTTATTTTTTTTGTAGTTCAGCAGTGAGATCTGAACTTGGAGCGTAGTGTTGCAAATATCAAAACTACCCGACCAACATATCACCAAATTTGAAGCATGCATAATCACATTTTACAATAGAGACTGCAAGCCAACAAGGATTCCCCTCCTTGGAAATTCTTCAATTAAATGCCTTCAATCTCATCAATCAAACCTCATGTGTGTTCATTTATCCTTCCCAAATCAAATCCAATCATTTGACACCTTAACATCACCCAGAGGGCCTCAGTTACTTTCCCTAGGAACAGGCCTTTGAATTTGAAATCCCATTCAGATCAATATCACAATGATTTACATGCAGTTTTCTAGAAATCTGATTCAAGTTTTACTACACATATGTAGTTATCTCTATGCATGAGTATCTCAGTACATATATATGTATGGCACTATAGATTCCTACGTGCATGCATATGTATCATTAGAAGTGCAATTATACACGGTCACGTAGCACTAAATTAGAACCTTCTGGATGTGATTGGTTATATTCATCATCAGCATTTACTCCCTTTATTGTATCAAAGCCAAATAAACATTGAGAACAAAGACTAATAAAAATCAACAGAAATCAATAAAGGATACATTTCCTGGTCTGTCTTTCGCTGGCCATTATTTGAAACTGAAAATTCCAAACTGCTGTGATTTAAGTAACTTATCAACAAAATATAAATCAAATTAATTAGATAACATGACACAATTTTCCAGAAAATCCACCAAGAAAAAAAGGCAAAAAACGCACTAATTACCTGCTATACTTAAAAAGAAACTATCTTGAAAGAGAAGGGCTTTGCATCTTTAGGAATCTTGAAAATTCACAGAAATTTATTGCTCTCAAAAAGAGAAAGAACATTATTGTTTTAATGTATTGTTTTAGAGAGAGTAGGTGGGTGTTTAGTCCTACATTCACAAATTGAAAAGACAGAACCCAATTTATATAGAGAAACCCACTCTACCACTGTGTCAATGGAACAAAGGAGAGAGAAGGTCTACACAAAGCATGTGATGCACACGCGTCGGTGCAATAGCGCTTGAGGTGCACTTTGCACTAGCATCTGTGAATGAGGCGCCCTTAGCTCTTGCATGAGTGAACATTTAGCTTTAACCATAGCTAATGGGGCAGATCATGATTAGGATTCATCGTTGGCTGCAGTTATGGGCATGAGAGCTCGGTTATAGCCGGTGGTTCATGGTTGTAGAACACTGACGATTTGCCACAGTTTTAGGGAGATGTGACGTTCAGCTACGGATAAGCCGAGACGGTTTGAAAACAATCAGTGTAACTCTTGGCAACCCAAATTTGTGAACAGTTGTTACTTAGCAGAATTATGACTTTACAGAGAGAAGACATGATTGATCTACAAACAATCACATCCAGTAGTCATGATCCAATAATTGGAAAGGTTTCAAATCTTTCATTTAGAGGTTACAATTTTCATGAGAGTCTCTCTTTTCTCACATGATTTTCTCTCACTAAACAAAGGCCACTCTTTGATGTTACGGGGTTCTCGTTCTCCTTGTGAATTTGAACAAGCAAGATTTTGTTTTAAATCTTCTGTTGCATTAGCCGACCCCAAATAGTAGGGAAAATGCTTTGATGATGACGATGTTTCATTATACCTGGATGACAAATTTGCTTGAAACCCTTCACAGTTATTTCTGTTAGTCGGGGTAAATGTTATCCTGAGATAGCATCATACACGTGCCTCACAACTCGAAGATCACTCTATTTTTTTGTTCTCTAGTTTTTCAAACCAACTCAACACCATAAATTTTTATCTTTCCAGGTGGTGTAAAATGAAGAATTTTCTAGATTCCTAAAGATCAAGTACCAATAGCGACAAAGAATTTCACATACATTTAAAATGTCAAGAAAGAGTCAGAATTACTATCTATAAGATAGATAAAGAAAATGAGAAATCTCTCTCTCTCTCTCTCTCTCTCTCTCTCTCTCTCTCTCATTTTTCCAAAAAGGGCTCAACAGTGCCTAGGCCCTCTCTCATTTTTCTAAAAAAGGCTCCGCCCAGTGCCTAGGCGCCCAAAGGGCCTGGGCAGAATTTTTCCAAAAAGGGCTCAACAGTGCCTAGGCCCTCTCTCATTTTTCCAAAAAGGGCTCAACAGTGCCTAGGCCCTCTCTCATTTTTCTAAAAAAGGCTCCGCCCAGTGCCTAGGCGCCCAAAGGGCCTGGCCAGTCCTCTGGCACCTGCCCAGGCAACATAGGCGGGAGCCTTGCATGCAGTTTTGGGCAGGCACCCAAGGCCTAAGCCCACTGTTGTGGAAATAAGACCCACAAAATACAGTAAAATGGGCGTTTGGGGATATTCTAAGTGAAAAACTCAAGTCTAAACCCTAGAAACACCCCAAATCAATTGATTTTGCAAATTTCTTTGAATTGAAAAAAAAAAAAAGTGAGGTTTGAAAAGTTTACCCTTTCTTATTGGAATTTTTTTGGCTGCTAGTGAGGCCATTAGAAAACTTTTAGGGTGAGTTCTAGCTCGATCAACATAAAAACACCGAAGATTAGAGATCAAGCAAAAATGTTAGTTTACAAATTACAATTTATATTTAAGATTCCTTTTTTGGATTTGAGATGTCTTCCTTGGGGTCTACTAGGAGTGGGGATCCAGGATGGCAGTATTGTGTTAACCTAGATAAAAATGACAAAAACAAAGTAAAGTGCAATTTTTGTGGACATGTTTCAAATGCCACAATGAATAGGTTCAAAAACATCTTGCTGGCCTTGGAGGGGATGTTGCCCCACGCAAAAATGTTCCTAAACCAGTAAAAAAAGAGACTATCGAGTACATATAAGCCAAAAAAATAAACAATTAACAAAGACGAAGGATATAGAAGAATTGAAAGCCGCAATATATATTTGTGTTGATGAGGATGAGGATGATAAAGGGGAAGAGGAGGTGCGCCACGTGCTCAATTTCGGATACTATAGATGACAAGTAAAATAGGCAGTTTCATAGACCATTGCATGCAAGTACTATTTGAACCCAAATTTTTTTGTATTTATTTGTTTTCTTTTGCCAACCTAGATATTGAGAGGAAAGATATAATTATGGATGGCTTTAATGAGGGCCTTGAGAGACTTGTGAGCCAGAAATCCAAGATAAGATATCTACTAAGAAACTCATTATGTATAAGTGTGCATTGAAGTCGTTCAAGAGAGAAATGGCAGTGAGACAAAGGACCAAATCAGATCCAAATAATATATATTTCATTTGAACATTTCCTTTCAAGTTTCTAATGACTACGTTGTATTTTAAATTTACTAAAATTATTTATGATAATGTTAAATTAATTGCACAGATGCATGGAAATAGTGCTCCAAACCTCCAAAAGATTGTTGTTTGGGTCTTGAGTTTAATAACTATCTCTTCTTGCTGTAAGGGAATTGTAGTTCGTTTGAGATGGTAGGTTTAGTTGAGTTTTTTCCATAGCAGAAGATCCAGCCATATAGTACCAATTTAATTATAATTTTATGGTTTCACTTTAGTTTTCTCTAAGTCCAAATTAAAAAATCTAGATGGGTCAAATAGTAGTACTCATACATTTTTTTCTTAGCGATGCATACAAAGAGAAGAAATAGACTTGAGCAAGGCAACTCAATAATTTGGTATTTGTTTGAGAGAACAAGAGGTTTAGGGAGTTCAATCACCATAAAAAAGATCTCATCACTTCACAAAGGGTGAGGGATATAGAAGAGGATGAGGCAGAATCAGAAGAATGTTAGGAAGATGAGCAATGTTGAAGAAGGTGATGTTTCTGATGTTAATGGATGGATATACAGGTAATGCAGAATCTGACTGATGATAAAGAATCGAATATCCACTCTCTTCTTTTGTATTTCATCTTATTTTTTATATTGCATTATCTTGCATTGGTTTTATACCTTTATTGGAGAATAGGAGTCCATGTGACTATGTCTATGTGTGTGTGTGCCGCTATGAAGTAAGAGTTGGAGAGTAATACACTATGGATTTAAGTTTTTCACTAAATTTTCAATGATTTGAAGTTTTGAACATGTTTCAACATTGATACGTATATGAACATTTTAGAATACATACGAATGCAAAACAGTACAAAATTAACACAAATAACTGCATATACGTGCGTTTTGAACAGCATATATATGCATATTTGTGAAACTTTTTCACCTCAAGGCACCTTAGGTTCTGGGCAACCTGCCTATGCATTGGATGCTGAGCGCCAGGCCAGCCACCTTGGGGCTGACTAGCATTTTTTTGAAACATTTCTCTCTCTCTCTCTCT